GGACTTCTCTCTAGGGCTCTGATCCTGCAATCAGATTTGTAGGCATGGACTCTTGTGCGTGCATGGAGTCCCAGTTACCCACCCTATTGCATTATTGGGGTATTGTTCTGTCAATCTGAAACCTTTGAGCACTAAATTCATTACAAGGGGTGAAAAATTAAGAGTACAGAAAGAAAACCAGCATCAAAGGAAAGCTGGATTCAAGTATCGGAGCCTCTCTCATCAGGAGAGGATAATTGAGAACTGTCTGAGCCCCAAAACCTATGACAGTGGATTATCTGTTCTGTGTTTAAAGAATTACCATAGTTTAGTGAGCTCTTGTATGTTAAAGAAAACAAAAATCCCCATGAATAAACGTACAGAACACTTGATGTCCACCCCCGCTCTCCCTCTTTAAAGTGCTGTGGATTTGCTTTGAACAAGGTCACAGGGCATGAATAATGGTGTCCCTCTAGTGACCTTGACAAAGAAACATCATGATTGCCCAACCAACCCATCTAAAACAAATGAACGGGCAGCAACAGCCAAAAAGGAAAAGTGTTTCATAACTGTTGACTTTTGTGTTCTAGCAGCCAGTTTCTCCTTGTATTATTCTGGGGGCTTTTGTTCGTGTTTTTGGCAGAACCCGAATGGTTTTTGGCATGTAGAAGAAAAAGTCTAAATGTCATATTACACACCCTTATTTAGCAATCTTTATCTGGAAGCAAGATAACTATCAGTCAATCTGAGTTTCAGCTAGATTTGCTTTTCTCAAGATAATATACTTACTCTTCATGTACGTGTCAAATGATTTCTTCAAAGGGCCTGTTGGTATATACTCGGTGTTACCTCTTTCCATACAAAAAGAGCAAAATGTGTATAATCTCCTTTTTAGACTAAGGAAAACAACAAAAAGAACACAAGTAATGTGTACATGAGAGCGTGTTGTGTGTCTTCTGTTACATGCTGCAGTCATTCTGAGAGCAGTATGGTGGACTTGATAGAAATTAATAGGTACAGCACACTGAAAACATAGGTCATCACTGTTTCAGAGCTACGTGCAGTACAGCAGAGTTAGAACCTTAGTCATTATACATGAGAGATGGGTCTGAGGCTCAGTGTTCAAACTCAATGCTGAATTCCCCCAAAGTTTGGGAGCATTCACTTCTGGGGTAACAGTTAGAGCTGGTCAAAATTTTTGAACCAAATTACTTAGTCAAAAATGCTTTAAAAATTGTGACACTGTTAACTCTTCAATTTGTTTTATCTAAATTTAATATTTCCTATATAAACCATTGTTCAAATGTTTTATTTACCAGAAACCGGGAGGATTGTTTTAAACGATATTTGTATAACAGTTTTTGCAGAATTCTAAAAAGTGAAAAATGAATACTGCAAAACCAGAAACAACTTCCGAATGCTACAAAACCAGAAACAATTTTTCCAACTAATTTCAGTTTGACGTCATCCTTGTGTGGCTTTGGGTTCTACGTGTTTTCATATCCAAGACAATATATAAGGGTTATACAGACTTCTTCAGAGTCATGATAACAATAGAGTATTCTTGGTTTCATTCTTATCTATAAGAAACATTCCTATAAAGTAGTAGTTCTCTTGTTGTGTACTAAGGAGATAACATTTTGGTTACCTCTTTATGGAGCGGGTGGGCTGGGCAGGGGGGGACTTTAAAATTGGCATACAATGCTGATAGCATATTGACAGGATGCTTCCCCCCGGCCCCTCCAAACCCCTAAAATAAAAGGCAATTCTCAATGTTGCATGGCAGATTATTCTCTTGAGAGAAAATTTGGGACTTAAAATGTTTGCTCACTTCTTGCTTGGACAAAACTTCCAAGTGAAAACAGAATAAAAAGCTGAACAAGAACATACGGGTTTGATCCTTGTTGGCTGGTCATCGGAAAGCAGGATATCTCAGTCCATACAATACAGGCCTGAACTCTACCTGAACTTCTTGACTGGGAAATCCCTTGGGTTACTGGGCTGCTTTCCTTGCCTCTCTGTGGTGCACTAGGGGGCCCTGTGCATGCTCACAGAATTAAAAAAAAAAATGCAGGGTTCATGGGCTGAAACTGTGCTTATGCCCTCATGTAGTGGTACTAACTCTGGGGATGCTTCTAATGTAAGGCTGAGCAAACCAGTTTGGAAAAAAACCCATCTCAAAGCTTTCCTTGGTCCTCAAGTGGAACACACATCCTCTCAGCACGGCACGGCTCCCTCCTCGCACTGTCTCCTTTTCTCTGGTGCCTTTGCTGATCCAGCGGTGGGTCTTAGACAGCTGTGGGCCCCAGATGCTGCTGATGTCCAGGTTTGCCTTACACAAAGACTCCAGTTTTCATGTTGAATTTGGTGGCATCAGGTCAGAGCTTTTGGGATTCAGACTGAGGCTTTGTTTTGCGGGGAGGATGCAGTTGGGCCAGTTATTGGTTGTGGAACTGGAAAGTACTTAACACTCAGGGCTTGTCTACACTTACCAGGGGATCCACGAGCGGCGATCATTGCATCGGCGGTCGATTTAGCGGGTCTAGTGAAGACCCGCTAAATCGACTGGAGATCACTCTCCTGTTGACTCCTGTACTCCACCGGATCGAGAAGAGTAGGGGGAGTCGACGGGAGAGCATCTCCCATTGACATCGTGTAGTGTGGACTCCGCGGTAAGTAGATCTAAGCTACGTCGATTTGAGTTACGCTATTCATGTAACTCTTACGTAGCTTAGATCGAATTTCCCCTGTAGTATAGACAAGGCCTCAAACCAGCATCCATTGCATTCACTGTGGATGGGGCCCTTTCATGAGGTGGAGAAAACTGGAGAGGCCTACAGGAAAGTCCAAAGGCAGCTAATGGGAGGAGCAACCCTGGAAAGCTCTCGAGCCTCAGAGTTTCACTAAGTTTCAATTTTCTGACCTTGTTGATCTTAACACCTGCTACTGCTGAGCTACATGAGCAGCTGACAGACGTGGACTAGAGTTTTTACCAGACCTTCCCGCCGATAACTATGGGCCACATTATTGAATGCAGCCACCTAAAGAGCATCACAACTTCTGCACGTTCACGTTGGTTACATTCACAAATCCCACTCTGGGGCCGGCATGTGCTGCACTGGCGCTGGCAAGTCAGATGATTGTGCATGCACAGCAGCATTTACAGGTGCAATTTTTGCTGGCTAGACACAAGTCCCTTAATATGCAAAATGCCAAGAGGGCAGACAGGTCTCCATTCTCATTCTTAATTGGCAGTCTTAACTGCAATCATCAATTATTAAACCCTCCTTTGTCCAATAATTCACGATCTGCAGACTTTTGAGGTTCTATTGTTCCCTTAATCCTTTAACATAAATACTGTATGGAACTGGGAGGTTCCAGAGCATAGTATGTGGTGAGGTGGGAATTGTTTGTGTGCTTCTTACAATTTGTTAGACAAAGCATTGTCTTGTATAGAAAATGATCTATGGGACACCTAATAGAATTTATGTAAAGTTCTGTTGTGGGCAGGGGAAAAACTCACCTGAAGGCATTAAACAAAGAAATGCTCCATGATTTATGTCCTTGCAGAATATATTGGCCCTGGGCAAGAGTGTCTTATAATGAATGTTTTGAAACTATAAACATCTTGGTGTTAAACAAATGATATTATCAGACAGCTCCTGTTCAGGTAGGATTCATGCCCTGTGCATTCTCCAGCGTTAACATTTTGGAAACAGTAATGACTGAGGCAGAATGCTTGCCAAGTTTGATACCTTTGGTTTTGTCCTTGCCACTTGGTTTTGGCTTGAATACAAGATCTGTTTGATTGGTGACCCTGTTCAGCTGTGAAGGTCATTACAAAATTCAAAGCCTTAATCATATGAATAACCCTTACTCACGCAAATATTTCCACTGAAGTAACAAACTCATTGTGACGTTGAGGTTTTGCAGGGATGGGCCCCAAGAGTTGCATATGTCCCAGTTGTATTTTCCACCACTCCCCCCATCTCCCCGACTATCTAAACCAGACTAGATTGGACATTGTCTGTTCTAAAAGATATTCATTATTTTCTTTTAATTTTTTTAGACCAGACTCTTTGTTGATGGAAGTATCTCATACAGAATCTAACTTTCTAATATTGGTATTCCATGCATATAAGACATTCATTCCAGACTGGTAAATGTGTGCCATTTAAGTTTTTTGTGTAGGAATTCATAACTGCCTGAAGTGATTTGCCTTGTATTAGTCCTTGTCAAATACATACAGCAAAAGCAAGTGTTGCTTTTTGACATTCCCATCCCAACCCAACGTGACCTGCTACTGTTTGATGCTTAGTGCTGAATACTATAGCTGACCTCTAGGACTTGCTTTCCTGGTGATGATGAGCAGAGCTGGGGCAAGCATGAGTGATAGTTTTCTTCTTGCTTTTCTTCACAAACCTCACTCAGCCGCTGTGTATTTTCTAAATAATGTTAAAATAACCCCCAGAATGCTGTGCAGGACTAAGACTAGTGTGGATGATGGTAAAATTTAACAATGCAGTATGTGTGATGGCGGTGGGGAATAATCAACCTCTAAGTTTTGGAGCAGTTATGGTCGGTCATCAAAGAAATCATTCCCCCGTGTTTTAAGACAGAAAAAAATAGCATCTGGTAATGTCTCCTCTTACATTGCATACCTACGAGCATATTTGTTTACTGTGAAGTATTCGGGAAAGATCAGCTGATTTTAGGCAAAATAAGAACTAGTTCAAACCAAATCCAGGGTGAATGGATTTTTGAGGGTCACAACTTTCACTTTACTTTTCCTTCTGTGTTCTGGTCAGGACTATCAGTGGAAGGTACCAGCAAACTCACCAGACAGCAACCTTATGAGAACTAAGACAACCTTGCAATTCAAAGAGGTGCAGTTAAGCATCCAGACTCTTGCCTAAACTATCATCATCTCCAAGCCTATGGTGGCACATCCACCACTGGCATGTAATCTAAAATGTCTCTGAAACTACACACATACACTTCATAGTGTTCTCTCATCCTAGGCTTCGACTTCATGATGGAAAGCTCATTAAGGACAGGCGCCACCACCTTCGAACGTACCCCAACTGCTTTGTTGCAAAGGAGCTTACAGACTGGCTGATTGACCACAAGGAAGCACCAGACCGAGAGACGGGTATCCGCCTAATGCAGAAGCTAATGGACCATTACATCATCCATCATGGTTTGTAAACTCTAGTTACCCTTTAACTTGCCCAAGAGAGAAAATTCACAGTGTCTGGACTAGTCATTCCCCTGTCTGTTCCCACTTATCAGACCAACTTACTTATTTAGGATCCACTTCTGCAACCCTTTCTCATGCAAGTACTTCCGCTGAAGCCAATGGGATGACCCCCCGGAGTTTGAGATGTGCAGAACTGGGCTCCTGTTTAATAGCACTACTTCTCAGGTTGCACGATGCTCCCAGTCTCTTGCACTGCATCCACTCCAGAAGAGAGACTGTGGCTGCACAAGAATGAAATAACTCTTGGAGGTGTGTCTCATGGGAAAAGGTGGAACAATAATGCAACTGGTTCTAGCTCAGTCACCCTGTCCTGGACGCTACTCTGCTGTTCAGCAGCTGCCGAAATACTGTGGTGTAGATTTTTACGGAATTGAATCCCTGCAATATGGTTGTATTATGCAAATACTCAAATGGCTGAAACTTCATGATAGAAGAAATAAAAAATGTAGAAAAATTCATTTTTACTACACCAGCCTAGTGTCCCTTGACTTTCCAGCTCATGTCTGGGATGGGGACAGTGGTAGTGCAGCTTGCATGCCAGCAAGCGCTACACCGTGATCGGATCGTGGCATCCCAAGGGCCAACGCAAACATGCAGGAAAGCTTCTCTTGGAAATGAAAAACGTACAGTGCCCTTTTCAAGGCCTGTCTTTGGACCCAACTCAGAGTAAAGACTCACTTGGCACCCAGCTCCAAACGGGTCCTGACCAATGGCTCCTACTAATCTGGCTCCTAATTTTTTTTTTTAAACTTGCAACAGCTCTACTTTATTTTTATACAAACACTGGGCTGGGTCATGTTGTTAGATACCTGGGGAAGGCGTGGTCTAGAACTGAGTATTGGAGCAAGAGAGAGGAATTCCTGAGGCTTAATCCTCGCTCTGATGCGGACTCACTCTATGCCTTCCTCGGTTAAGTCTCTGCCTCTGTATCTTCAGCTGAAGTAGTGCGAAGAGTGGCTGTCTCGCATTTAACTTTCAATTTACTAGAGATGAGCCTGGGCCAAAATCCCACATCAGATCCACCCCACTTGCCTGAAACTTGGGGATGTTTGGAACCAGATATCCATGCGCTGATGTTCCTGCTTTGGTGATCTGGTGGGAGACAATCCTCTGGATTAAAAACATCTAGCTCTTTAACATGCAATCGAAAACTCCCATGATGTTATCAAGAAACTAAAAATCCTCTTCCCGGAGATAAAATCTCATGGGGGTTAATAACAAACCGCACCCTGCTTCCCAAAACTAAAGCTTCAGCATCTCTGGCAAAGCGGCATCTGCACATGCTCCCATTGCAGGGTTACCTACTAGCCCTGTCCCCAACGCCATCCTGCCAGTCCTAGATGAAAATGCCAGCTCCATTTAGACTAGAGAAAGGAATGCAATCAACTTGGTTTGTGAGGGGAGGACAGGGGACGGGGAGGTGGGCAAGACAGCTCAGTTTATTTTTTAGCAGCTAATAAAAGTGAGCTTGCTCTCTCCCTCCCTGGAACAACAAAAGGCCAGAAGGGCCCATGCAGTCCTCTTGCATAATGCAGAATTTCACCCATTGATTCATGCATCAAGCCCAATAACTGGTGGTTGAACTGGAGCATGTCATCCAGACCCTCGGTCATGACTGGTAGAATCCAAGTGTGGAGAATCTACCACGTCCATTGGTCTTAAAGCCAAACCCTAGTTATACACACCCTTGTGACTGAGTGTGGAATATACATCCACATTTTGCAGCTATTTGCTGGTTTTTATAATGGGCCAAGCCAAAACCCCGTAGTTGAATCAGACCCAAGATTTGGGGCATCTGAGGTCCTCATGCTTGATGCTAGAACCATCTTTACGGAGAGACTCAAACTACTTTCTCTGTGCTTATTTAAATGAGTAGTCCTCTCTCTTTAATAGCACACAGAATGTAGGTTTTGCTGCCAGATCTCTTGCCTTCATTGAAGTCTTTCTGCACTGCTGCTTAACTTTGCAGGATGTAATGTCTGTCCTTAGTGTCCAATGCATGGACCCAGGTCATATAACCACAGGGCACTTGAGGGAATGGAAAACGTTTCTGTGATTGACCAGCCGAGTGAACTTGTTGAGTGATGCGCCCGCTCTGCGATACACTTAACAAAGGTGAAATCTGCAACGGAGAGCAAATGGTCAGGGGAGGAGCAAGGGCGACTTGTGCTGAATGAGCCTGAATGTTCAGCTTTTAGCCGACGGTTTGGCAGAATATACTTCAGGCCTGTTTCCCCTGCAGGAGCTACACAAGGCCGGCTTGTGTATGTCACACAGAGCCTGACGCTGGCTGAAACCAAAATAAACACAGACTCCGAGGGTGCCTTCTTCCGGCAGTCTGGGACAGCGTGTACAAGCAAAACCTTGGGCTGTGGTGAGGGGAGCTCCAGGGTCTGTGGGGCAGAGAGTCCATGAGGCAAAGGATTGCCTGGTTCTTTCTCCAAGCATCCTGCCTCTCTAGTCTGGTTGTCGGCCACAAGGAGGGAAAGGAGTCTAAAAAGATGATTTTTAAGAGCTGTGTCCTGTGTGTCCTCCAAAGAATTCAGTGTTTTCTTGTCTTGTGGGGGAGGTGATGGCTAGTTTGGCCTGAACACTCTCCCAACCCCTCTTCCTCTAGTCTTCACTTCACACTCAGCCTTTTCTGAGGCTTGTAGAAGTTGTGGTGACTCACTCCAGCTTGTGTTTGCTCACCTTTCTTGGTTCTTGTCAGAAGCAAAAGGCCCCAAATTTCTCTCTCTCTCTCTGTATGAGGTTGCTTGTGGCATATTTCTGGGCTGACTAGCAGCAGGAAGTGCTAGATGTTATGCGAGACCTTATTCATGGGTCGCTATTTGTTCCTTCCGCACACCCCACCCAGAGGTGAGCATCCACCCTCTGAACAAGGGACACCGCTCTCTTTCAGGCGTGCAGGATTTTAACCTCTGGTTTTGGAAGGAGGGTTGTAAAATGACCATGCAGATTTCCTCTTGGCTGAAAAATTACAAAAAAGTGTCTGTAAATTGAGGGTTAGTCTGGAACATTTTTCCCCACAGAAAGTTTTAGGTGAAATGCCAAAAAAACAAAAATGTGCCCCATTTGTTTTCATCAACATTTTACGTTTTCTGCTAAAATTTTTCAGTGAAAAAACAATCTTCTGTGGAAAGGAAATGCATTTCTTTTTGTGGAAAAACCTGTTGCCAAAACCCCCAATTTCCCTCCAAACGATCAAGAGAGAACATGTTTGACTTAATTGAGGGTGCAGTATACCGTGTGTATGCACAGTTAGAGTGGGTGTAGTTAATGTCTGTGGAAAAATGTACCTGTCCTGTGTTCTTCTCCAGCTCTGCCCCAGAAGTAGCTGCATGTTAGTGATCTTGTGACTATAGCTAACACCTTTGCGGCCCTTCAGGATGGAAGGCCCTGTGGAAATGTAGATTCTTTACTGAAATATCAATCAAAGGTGAATTTAAATAGCTGTTGCTTGTAACACCCGGGCACTTAGTGCAAAGTGGCAAATCCGTTGTGCTAAATGACTGGGGCAGGCCCCATGTTAAGTTAGTCTTTCAGACTTGTTAAGAAGAATTTCTCACCCTATGACATCTGGAGTGACTGGGCAGATCCAAATCGGGGAGGGTATAAAATGAAGGCTGAAAATCCAGATTTTAGGGGCCAGATTTTCAAGAAGAGCCTTCATCCATCGCTCTTGATATTAGCGGGGGAAGGGAGAGAGGATAATACGTCATTGTTCTCCGTGGGCGCTACTGCTCTCTGATGAAGAATCTGCCCACTTCATTTAGGTGCCTAAACAGGAGCTGAGCTCTCAGCCCCTAAATCCTTAACAAGCCGAGCTGTGGTAACACTGGAGTTTGCATTTATGCTCTCCTTATCGGAGCTGAGGAGGTGGAAGGCAGGTGCAGCTTTCGTTGACTTCAACCCCTCTTTGGCAGTGGAGTTTAGAAACAACCCCCTTGACCACCACAACGCAAACACTCTATCTGTTGTCATTGGCTGCCTGATGCGAGATTAATGCCTTGTAGGTTAAGCTGCCATGAATAAAAATGCCCTCTGTTGCTGCGCTTTATCACAGCAGCATAAAGTAGCAGCAATTAGTTCAGGGTTAACCATTAACACTTAAATCTGATTATTTTCCATCTTTCCAGCTATTTTTTTTTTCACCACCAGGTTGACCGTTTCAAAGAAACCCATTATTTGATTAAAGCCTTTGGAACGCTGGGCAGGAGCGAAGCTTTTGGTCACCAAAGACGTCATCCTTCCATGTTTCTGTTAATCACCTGGTTAATGCATGAGGCTGACTTTTTTATTTCCTGATTTGGGATCATTTCTTGTTGTTAGTCCTCTAGTAAGAGGGCTGTCTGCTCACCTCCATGTGGAGAGAACTGCCAGGAATCTGGCTAGTTAAAATCCATCCCCCCTCCCCTCGCCGAGTCCCAACATCCTTGAGAGGGGCAAACGAAATGCATTGCCTGGGCTATTGCTTACTTGTGAGATAGGAGCTAACTAGGGACTATAGCATACACTGGACCCAGGATTGGAAATTGGGTATTCTCCGCCAGGCCTTCAAGCTGCAAAAGTGCATCTTCTTTCCATGGGCTCCAGCCTGTAAGGCGCTGAGCATATTAACTTCCATTAATCCCTCTCCTTCCCATGAAACTGATTGTAACACCATGGGACCCATTAACGCCGCTAGTCAAAAAATGGGCAAAACCCCCGTAGTCCTCCTCCTGCCTGACACATCTTGTGTTGTGGCAGTGCAGTTTGTCACCATGAAGGCAATTCAGGGAGCACGTTTTTTAAGATAAGTCCAACCATAACACTTAGCATTAGAGCCAGTCAACCAAAGGCAGGCATAGTTCTACCAAACATTCCTAAGGAAATGAACATTTTGTTTTTTACTCCAAACTTTCTGTGAAATTTTTTATATGAAACTTCGAAAGGCAACTTTTTAAAATCTCTGATTAGTTCTTCCTCCCCTGCCACCCCCCCAAATTCATTAGGGAAAAAAAATCTTCCTCCTCCTTGCGGGGAGGGGGGGATGTTTTTGTTTTTCTTGTTTTTTTATTAATAGGTTGTTTCTTCACACTAAAACAAAACTTTTTTTACAACAGGGAAAAACCTTTTTGACACAAACAACCCCTCCCAAACTTTTGACCTGCTCTACTTACCACTTAGTGCAAGCTCACCATGGATCTCAAAGCACTTTCCCTAAATGGGTATTATCCCTATTTTACAGGTAGGGGAAACTGAGGAAGAGAGGTGCTGTGACTTATTCAAGTTCAAACAGTAAGTCAGTGGGAGAGCTGAACTCAGATCTCCCAGGTCCTTAGAACAGTGGTCTGTCTCTGTGACCATATTGTCTTTCAGTGGCATCTCACATATTTGCACATTACCGTCTGCACACACCTACCAGCCGGGCATGTACAAATGAGGAATGCACAAATACCCAAGGTGTGCCTGCAAATGAGGTGTGGTCCCTTAAATTAGGTAGCTGTATTTGCATACACGTAACTTTAAAGATCTGATGTCAGACCTGATAGATTGCCACGTGAATGAATCGGGAAGAGTGGATGCAGATTGATTGTGTGGAAAAATCTCTTTTATAGCTGCATTTAGATATCAAAGCATCTGCAATAGGGGAAGAGGAATATAAATATTCTGAGGCAATTTAACGGGTTTTTGGCTCTTACATCTCCCCCAACCCCCACCCTCTCCAAGCTTCTCTAAATGTGGCAGTGGCTTTTTAACGCACCAGACTAGGAGAGGGTTGCATTTCTTTTTTTAAGCTTATAGGTGAACTGCAACATGTAGACTTAAAAAAAAAAATTCTGCCTTTTCCATTAAGTCATCTAATGAGAGCTCTAAGTGTAGCTATTCAGGATCAGAACTTACTCCAGTTCCTTCAAGCAAAGTTCGGTGCATGTGACTGGCTGCCTGGTTTCTATACAGCTCACTGTAGTAATCATAAAGTTGGAGGTCTGGAAACTGGGCCACGGTGTCCTAAATGACTGAAAACTGGCTTTTTGCTCAGTTCTGAGCTCAGCTCTAGTGTATGCATTATGGGGTAGTATTTAAACCTGCAGTCCTGACGCTGCCTGCTTTGATTTTCTTTCCAGTTTGTGATGAACACTCGGACTACAAGGACGCCAAGTTGCTCTACCGTTTCCGCAAGGACGACGGGACCTTCCCTCTCAACAAGGATGTAAAGGTGTTCCTGAGGGGGCAGAGCCTTTATGAGACGTACGTGAGTCCTTCCCTGAAAGGTCTATCACCGCGCAGTCTGCTGGCTGGCTTCGCAGCTCCAGAGCCAGGGAGCTGAACCGTTGCCAATGTTTCTCTTGCTCCATAGCATCAACGGGTAGCTCCAGCTCTGACTCCTTGCTGCCTTTCTCACTGCAGCAAAGCAGCAGGACCATCTGGACTGGAGTTCAGAGATGGCTGTGAACTGGAAGGCAGGATCGGAACTCTTTGCTGCTCTGGGGGAAGTTCACATTCAAATCCAGATCTGGACTTCTCGACTTGGAGCCATTGATAGTGAATACAGGATTCTGGCCTATGGTTAAAGTGCTAGCCTAGGATCTGGGAGGTCTGGGTTTGAGGTCCTGCTTTGCCACAGACTTCCTGTGTGACCTTGGGCAAATCAGTTAGATTCTCTCTGCATCACTTCCCCCTGTACAAGGGGATAACAGCACTGTCCTGCCTCACAGGGGTGTTGTGAGAATAACTGCATTAAAGATTGTGAGATCCTAAGATACTGTGATAATGTGGGTGACCAGACAGCAAGTGTGAACAATGGGGGTGGGGGATAATAGGAGCCTATATAAGAAAAATACCCCAAAATCAGGACTGTCCCTATAAAATCGGGACATCTGGTCACCCTAATGCTAATGGGGGTGCTCCGATAAGTAGCTTAGATTTCATGGACGGCTTCCTTTCATTGAGCGGCGGGGGGGAGGGAGGGAGGGAGACACAGAAACACACACACAAAGATGGGTTCTCTGTGTGTGTGGAGATTTCGCTAATTACTCCTCCAGGTCAAAAACCAGCTTCTTCTCTGGGTCTGACTGGGGAAATTGGTTGGAGAATCTGGATCTCTGCATTCCAGTAAGCCTCTTAATAGGACTGGAAGGCAGAACACAAGTAGCTGATCAGCGTTGTTGCCCTCTTTTGTGGGTGTGGGGAAGCAGAGCTCTGGTAAGGTGGGAATGATTAAAAGGGGATGGGTGTTTCTGGGCTGTTCGATCCGGATGGCCCAGCCAATGCACCAACAGGGGACCACACTGGGAGTCTGGGGCAAACCTGGGAACTGATTCCAAATCTCCTGAGTCCCCATCACATGTCTTAACCACAGCGCTCCCCCTTCTTTCCATGATCATCAATTATCCAGTATGTTCTAGTAGTCCCAGCATAGGGCCGGGAACCTGGCGTTCCAGACGTTGAGCCTACTCCTCGTTCATGCTGACCTTAAGCCAATCACTTAATCTCTGTGTTTTTATTTTTCTCCCATCTGTTAAACGGGAATGGAAAATACCGACCTTGCAGGGGCTGTCTTATATGATCAATGCTTTTACAGTGCTTCAAAAAGTAAAGAAAAGCTATATGCAGGCTAACTATTCTGCCTGAAATGAAACCCTGGACAGGCTTGGTTTGGAACTGAGGAGCTAAATTCCAGAAATTGTGTATAATCTCATCACTCTAATTATTCTCTTCTGAGCGAAACACTGGCCTTACACCAGCAGGGATCCTCACCATCCTTCCTGCATTGGACTTGAATGCTGTTGCTGGCATCTCCCGTCATGTGAAGCATTCCTTGGCTTCTTGGTAGAGCAGATTGAAAAATGTTAGTCGTTTGTCTTGGAAAACTTCGAAAAATTGTAACTTTTTTCCAAATTTCCATGGTTTTTTTTTGTTTTGTTTTATGCATTTTGCAAAACAACTATAATGTTTTTGGATTTTGAAAACCTATCACCCCCCAACCTTTTTGGCTTCTTGGTCCCCACCCCACCCCTTTTCTAGTGGCAAAATTTGGAGGCAGGGGAGAGGGGAGAAATAAATAGATTTTATTTTTGTCATTTTAAAAAAAAATCACAACTGACACCAATTCTCATTTGGGGAGGGAAGCAATTTTCTATCTCAATGACTGTTTTTTTGTTTTTGTTTTGTTTTTGCAACCCCCTCTAGTTCTAAATCTCGGAAATGGTCTCTTCCTAGAATCAGATCCAGTCCTGTGTTTAAACTCGTTTCACCACAAAGGGTATGTCAGTGCTCCAGCGGTCCAGTACGGCACTGCAACTCTGCTGCTGTAGCACTGTCACGTAGCTGCTTCCTGCATCGACGGAAGCGGTTTTTCCATGGAGGTAGTGAATCCATCTCGCCGAGGGGCTGCAGCTAGGTTGATGGAAGAATTCTCCCGTCAAACTTGCCACGTTCACACCAGGGATTACACAGGCACTTGAACTGTGCCCCCCCCCCCCCCCCCCCCCCGCCCCCCCCCCCAAGGCGCCCCCCCTCCCCTGCCTCTTCCTCCCCAAGATCCTGCCCCCGCTTGCTCCTCTCCGCCCCCTCCTCCCCTTGTCGCTCAAACTTACAGCCGGAAAAAGTGGAAGGGCCATGGGCCCTCTGGGCCCTCCTATTCCGGTGCCCCCCTGGCCAGGCCTAAATCACTTCTGTACCTGGTTGTTTCAAGCACTCGCTCATCTTAATGCTCTATTGCGGCTAAGCACCTAGCAGTCAGAATCTCAAACTGCAGCTAAAGTGAGAACCGACCATTAAGCAAACTTGTGCAGAACTCAGCATGTGCTGTCTGTCCTCTGTTGGGCCCATGTTCTGATTTCAATCTGTCAGAAATTAGCAGATTAAGGGTATACTTCTGTTGTTGTGCTTTTTGCTAAACAAAATAGCATAAGGCCTGGTCTATGCTAGAAAAATCCACACCCCTGAGTGGTGTAGTTAAGCCAATCTAACCCACTGTAGACAGCATGAGGTGGACGGAGAATTCTTTCATCGACCTAGCTACCGCCTCTCTGGGAGGTGATTTGTCTATGCTGACAGGAGAAATCCCCCCCCCCCCTTTTCGGCGTGTCTACACTGAAGTGCTATAGTGTCACAGCTGTAGCATTTCAATTGTAGACAAGCCCTAAGAAATGCCTTCTGAAGGTATCCAGCTGTTTGCATATGTGGGGTTAGGGCACCCTCTTGTGGACACATCAGTTTTAAACTTCCGGAATTCAGGAAGCCGCGGGTTTAACTGCATTTAAGCTGTGCCCTTTCTAGCAGTTTAGCTTTTCAGGGGGTTACAGGAACCTTTTGTTACTTTTTGGCTCTCATGCTCTGTCTTGCTTTGAGTTGACCTTGAATTGGCTGAGCTGAAACCACACTCTTTTGCCTGGATTTGATTCAAATCCACATGAAAGGAGCATGTTTTGCATGGGTTCACCTGAAACAAGCAAAACTCCCACGCTGCCTTTCTAACTTGGCTTTGGGTTCTGTTACAATTACCTGCACAGCTCATTACAGCTAATCTTTTTGGAATTAGCTGGTGTTTTCCATTGTGCCTTAAACCTGTCTCCTCAGCTGTGTTTTGAATGAGACCTAGAATTTAGGTTCTGATCATGTGGGTTAAACATCTCATTTAAAAGTGCTTTTTCTCACCATACTTGTCTTAAGCAATGGGGCTTTTGCCATTTCCCTTGGGAGCCCAATGGCTATCTCTATCTGAGAAAGCTGCACTAGTTTTAAATAAAGGAGCGGTTTTAAACTGATGTGGTTAAGCCACCACAATAGGTTGTGTAGATATTTATTTTGCCTTAGCTTAAACTGATTCCTGGAGTGTCTACATAAGGGTTTGAACTGGCTTAATTCAGTTTAAAATTGCCCCTTTAGTTAAACCAGTGCAGATTTCTTGGGCAAACAAAGTACACTCATTGGAGGCTTACCTTACTGTTCAGCCTACAATGTTCCTTTTCTTAATTTTGTCTCGCCACCCTTAGCTGTTCCCCCTAAGCAGTTCTCCTTTCATGGTGTCCACACCTTCGAAATCCTTAGGTAATTATTACTGCTCCATCACTGTGTAACCAAGGTATGCTTTGTTCTTTGGTCCTTCCTCATACGGCAGCACTTTCAGCCCCTGTAGCCTTATAAACCAGAGCTCAGTGAGGAGTGAGTATTTATTTATGGTGGAATTGTAAGTAGAAGCTTGGACAGACTCCTCTGTTTACCTCTCATGTCTCCATGCTGGGCGAGAGTCTTCCTTTCCTTGAGACTTCTTTTTCTCACCCATTCCAGCATGCCCACCTCCTTTAAACCCCAATCAAATCCATGAAACATCCTAGACAGTCTTTGTGGTTCTTACTGGCTTTGATGTTACCTTGGGATTCATCTTCTGGGTCCTCCACATACAGCATTCTGACATGGGAACAACGTCATTCCAAAAACTGCCCTGAGCTAATGGCTCGAGAGGGGGAAAGTCTGACACTTGGAGTTACATAATCAAGCATATTATGGTGTAGCAACATGTATTGGGTCCCCCCACTGTTTATTTTCTCTCTGCTCATGACAGGTGGGACAACCAATGTCCTGCCAAGCTGCTTGTGTAGTTATAGGGCTAAAGAAAAGATCACTCTTCTCGGTCCATCCGGCTCCTTACCCCTTGGCACGTCTCTTCTCTGTGCCAGGCTGATCAATGTAGAAGACTCCATACTGAAGGCGAGAGAGGAGAATTCTGTGAAGTACCAGAGGACATTCCTGGGCTGTGAAATGATTGACTGGCTCATCCAGGAAGGGGAGACAGCAAACAGAAAGGAAGCTGTGGAGCTGGGCCGAGCGCTGCTGGAACATGGGATCATTCAGCAGGGTAAGCCGAAGTGCCTGGAGATGGGGAAGGAAGGTGAAGGATGGGGCTAGCTATCATTGCTTTGCTTGGAACAAACCCTCATTTATAACAAGTAACAAATGCTGGTCATGTGCTGAGTGCTAGTTTCTACTCGGAGATAGCAATGGGTCCATTTAGTTCTAATTTTGGAATAGGGGCCCGGGCAGTCTGGGGTCACCCTTGAATGTTTGAGACGGAATCTGAGTCACTTTTTCTGGCATCTCTTCCAAGTGTCATTCCCCAGCCACAGAATTGGGATTCACATCTGGATTTCAAGACACTTGAAGCCTGCTTGTGCGCACGCTCTGTGAGATCAGAGCTGAGATTCCTCGCCAACATTATAAATGAAGAAATAAGGCAGTTGAAGTGGAGGGGCTCGTTCAATATCTGGCCCATTTCTAAGGCCATAGCACCCCAGCTTGCAGAGACAAGCTCTGAATTTGCTTGTACAGAGAGACAATGGCTCTGTGACAGTGCTGCCCCCATTCCTCTGGGAAAGGGTGTTAACTCTTTCACTGCTCTGAGGCTGTAAACAGCACTGATAGAGCAGCACCATTTCTCTCCCACCTCCTCCTCCGCCTCAAACCAAGGGGGAAAAAAATCTCATTCTTGCCAATGAGGAAATGCCTCATTGGTTATCAACTTAACGTCCTGTCAGTTGTTTCTGTACCACCAATAAACCCAACGCTAGCTGGTAATAACCCAGCCTTACTGGACTGTGGGATTTTCACTGGAATGTTTTTTACTTGACATTATCAACATTACTTTGGTGTGCTCCTGCAGTGCAAAGCATTGTGGGAGGTGTAGTCCCACACTCTGCCATGCTTGGCTGTTGGAGAGGCGGGGGGTTGGGAGGGGAAGGGATGAGACTGCATCCCATGGCTGGGTTTGATAATGGAATAGCTTCCTCCCCCACCAGACCCTTGTGATACTGAAAAGGGGAATAAGAACACACCCTGTCTTGAAAATCCTGAGCATTAAAAAAAATCCTGAATCAGGCTCCTCAAAAGACCGAGGCTTTAAAAATAATGATTGTTGGGCTCCTCCTATTTGCCTTCTGGTTTCTGAGCTTTAGGTTTGGTTTTAGCTTTTATGGGGTCGTGTTTTCAAGCTTTTCTCTGCAACCCTGAGGGTTAGAAATTCACATTTTGTTTTTTAATGAAAGCTGAGAGTCTCCCCTCCTCACATGACTCCAGGAGCTGGGGATTTAAGAAAAGAAAAACACCAAATATTGTGACACTCACTAGAACTGGTAACACTGCAAATGGTGCATTGGTAACACTGCAGCAGGTCTCCTCCTCCAGCCCTGCTGCTGAATGGCGAAGATGTAGCTCCCCTTTGCTATGAGACCCCTGACGGCCGCCCTACCCGTTCCTGTTCTCTTCCCAGTCTCCAGCAAGCACCACTTCTTTGACAGTAACCTGCTCTACCAGTTCCGGATCAACTTCCGCCGGAGGCGACGGCTCACGGAGCTGCTCAACGAGAACTCGCCCCGGGCTTTGTCAGAGAGTCCTGACAGCCCCTTCTGCCTCCGCAAGCTCAACCCGGAGCAAGGCAACTCCAGCTTCCTCTCAGGTAATCAGGGATGCTGGGGCAGGGGTGAGATTGGAGGGGGTGCTGCTTATACTGAGATTGTGTATGGGGCAGGTGGCATTGCTGCTGGTTTTGAATGCCCCTCCTAAGGAACTGGTGTCGGGCAATGTCCTGGGACTGGCAGCTGGCAGCTCCTTGCTCTGTTTCCCATGTTCTCCCCTCACACTCTCAGGAAAACAACTCAAGCCTCTCTGCTCCTTGGTTTCCCCCTTCCCAATAGAACAGCTAAAGTCTCCCCTGTGAGTGACCACTTGTTTCCCGGATCATCAGTGCACCCTCCTGAGTAGTGCAGGCCCCAAACATCACCTGAGGGGGGCTGCTGTTAAAGCACCTCTGATCCAGCAATCTCTTGTGCACATCCTTTTGATTTAAAGGACCCGACAGGCCTCCTACCCATAGCAGAAGGGAATCTTGCACTGCTTCCAGTTCAGCTTTTAGATTAAAAAAAGAAAGAAAAAAAAATCTGGGCTTCTATGGCTTGGGGTTGATGTCAGCTATGCTGAGTTGCAGGAGTCAAGTGAGAAGCAGGAAACAAGGAGAGCAACATGAGAAGCAGGAAAATGGATCTAACTCCCGGGGATGAGACCTGGCTGGTATCCAAGCTCCTGCTGTCACTTCTGCCAGCAACCTGCAGGGATTGGTTCTTGGCCCCAGGCTATTTAACATTTTTACAAGTGGCCTGAAAGGACACAGAAAATCAGCGCTGATGAAGTTTGCAGATGAGACACGAAGTGAGGGAGTTCTAAATTATGAAGAGGACCAGGGACGGATTCAGAGAGATCTGGATTGCTTGGAAAACTGGGTTCAAGCAAACAATATGCACTTGAATATGGCTAAATGTATAGATCTAGGACCAAAAACTGTAGGCCGTACTTACAGGATGGGGGACTCTATCCTGGGAAGCAGTGACGCTGAAAAAGATTTGGGGTTCATGGTAGTGGACAACCAGCTGAACGCAAGCTCCCAGTGTGACACTATGGCCAAAACCGCTAATGCGACCCTGGGATGTGTATATAGGGGAATCTCAAGTAAAAGCAGAGATACTCCTACTCTTTACCTCTGTATCTGGCATTGGTGCGACCACTGCTGGAAGACTGTGTCCAGTTCTGGTGCCCTCAACTCAAGAAGGATGTTGATAAGTTGTAGAGTGTTCTGAAAAGAGCCACAAGAATGAGTAAAGGATTAGAAAACATGCTTGTAGCGATAGACTCAAGGAGCTCAACCTATTTAGCTTAAAGAGAAGGTTAAGGGGTGACGATCACAGTCCGTAAGTGTCAACGTGGGGAACAAATATTTAATAACGGGCTCTCCAATCTAGCAGAGAAAGGTATAACACGATCCAATGGCTGGAAGTTGCATGTAGACAAATTCAGACCGGATATAAGATGGACATTTGTAATGGTGGGTGTAATTAACCACTGGAATAAATGACCAAGGGTTGTGGTGGATTCTCCATCACTGACAATTTTTAAATGAAGATTGGATGGTTTTCTGAAATATATGTACAAGGGATTATCTTGGGGCAGTTCTCTGGCCTGTGTTATCCAGGAGGCCAGTCTAGATGATCACAGTGGTCCCTTCTGGGACCCTTGGAGAATCTATGAGCCCTCACACCCACAGGCCTTGCTAGGTAAAGACTAGTGAAGGGAGATCCTCTGAAGGTTTAGAGTTTCCTAAATCACTCAGACCTCCTGAGTCTGCAAAAGTGGGCTGGGTAATTTGTAAGGACTGAATTCCTTGGCTGAGGGCATGTGGACGTGAGTGCATTGAGGGGGAGGAGAACTGCTTCTCTGACTGTCAAACCTGGGCTGAAAAAGCAGGCCAAACTCTAGCCAAACCAGTCTGCTCACCTCTAGCCAAGATCTCGGAGGAGTTGTATCTGTGTCTTTCAGTCCAGCCCAACAAGGAGATCAAAATAGTCTCAGCAGTTCGGAGGAGCAGCGTCACCTCTCTTGCCGGAAGTTCCAACCCCTATTTCACTCCTACGCCCAGCCTGGGATTCCTGCCAGCAGCTGAATGCAACCCCAAATCAGGTGAGGTCTCACATTTCAGTGTCACTTACCTAATGATCAGAAGGGCTGAAGAGATGACATTAGACTTGAGACTAGTGATAAGGCTAATTTCAACAGGCCTAAAAGGAAAGGGCAGAATTGCATGAACAATGCTAAGGAAGTTCATCTTGCATGCAGTAGCTCAATTCCTGTTCTAGTGCAGGGGGCAGATGGCAGTGTGATCTTGGCTTGGCACCAGAAAGGCCTTAACTTTGCCATTCCATAATTAAGGTTGAAGCCAGCTTCTTGCTGTATGCCACATTTTTATACACCGCCTCTCATTGCAATGAAAGCATTTTTTTCTGGAAATGTTGTATGCCTCCTCTCCTCTCAGGGCAGACCCTTTCTGTTTAAAAACAAACACTATTATATCAGAAAGGTTTTAAAGTTATGATCCCTTGAGCATGTTTACTTGTACACCACTTTTGAGAACAGTTTTCTGAGGCGGGCTGTCTTTTTGAAGGGGTTCATTACATCTCCAAAACAGCATGCTTAGAAGCTGCAGATTTGTGGTGGTGTTTTGGTCTTTCTAAGGAGAAGGGCCCTTTAATGCTGGGCTCTGTAAATACGTGTGTACATTAGAGCACATTGCAACATGATTAATTTCTACACACTTTTTTTGAAGAAAACAAATTGTTTTGTGTTGATCAAAGTATTTCAGGTTCTCCTTGGAAAACAGAATCTTAATTTCCATTTTCAAAAACTTAAAACTTTGTTTTTCTTGTTTTAAACTGCCCTCCCCCGCTCTTTTGTTGTGGGAAGTAGAGGGACGTTTCAGTGGAAACTTTCCCTGCCAGTTCTAATACTTGTATAGAGGCGATACAGATAAGGAAGATGTCTTTGAATTTGTCCCAGACCTGCTCTGTTCTCGTAGAATGCTTTTTGCACAGAAAAACTTTGAATGGTTTGTGCGTCCATTCTCCAGGCTGGTACTTCCCAGTCTTCCTTGTTATGCATTATATTGTATTTAACCTTTACACATGTGATTATAATCGGATCTGTCACCTTTGGCTCTAGTGCTAAAGAAGCCTGTCACCAATGAGGAGCTCCTGTCCCCCGGGGCTCCATACATCAAGAAGACACTAACCGTAAGTGACCAGTCAGAACGCTGTAACATTAGCAGTAATGCTAAACCCTCCCTGGCTGCTCTGTTAGCTTTCTAGGTGCTCTCGTTTTTCACTCTTGTGTGTTTCAACCGTGACTGACTCTCACGTCATCAGGACCCTTTTTCTTTGCTCGACTCACATGAGATTTGTGAGCCGGTGCCTTGGGATATTCTTGTGTTTTGAACGGGCAGTGCCTGTCTCCAGGTTGCTGCCACTTGCTGACGTTTTGTATATGTGTCAGGGTGGAGAAAGGAGAAAAGTCCTTTTAAGGAGAAAACTCCATTGTACAACAGCAGCCTCGCTTGTCAAAGACATTAAGACATTCATTTTCCTTTCCTGTCACAGGTTGATTGCCTTTCCATGCCACTCTGTGTGCACCTGGTTCCTATGATCTACTTACAGATAGCTGAAGGCATCTCTAAGTTTAAGATACTCTGTGGGTTCAAAAGGGAATAGGAAACCATTCTGAACACTAGGAATGTTCAGGCGTCAAGCTCCTGGTTCGGACTCCAGGATGACTTAGGAAACCATAGTTGTTGGGGGTTTTTTATTATTATTTGTATTACTTTTGAATCTAGTGGCTTCAACAGATCAAGGCCCCATTGTGCAAGGCACTGTATGCGCACATAGTGAGAGACAATCCCTGCCCTGAAGATCTATCTATCTTTTTTCCCCTCCAAATGATAATTTGCATACATCTCCCACTCTTCCTTCTTCGCTCCCTTGCACAGGAATGGAATAGAACGCATCTCCAATCCATGAGCCAGATCCTTCAGTCCAGCTCCACTGGACACTGAGAGATTCACTTTATATCAGGGGAATCTCCAAGTAGCCAGTTAAAAATGTTTTATGGCCCACTTGCCCCACCAGAATGGCACACGGGGGCTGTAGGAGAGCAGTGGATCTGGCCTAAAGTGAGTGCCAAAAAATTGACTTCCTGTTTGGCCTCTTTCTGAGTGCTGTGTTTAAGGACATGCCATTCGTTCTCAATACCAGCCTTGCCCTGACTTTCAACTCTGTCAAGCTGGGCCTTTCAGCTGCTGCTTTGGTCCTTTTGCACGGCTCACTTCCTCTCCTTAGCTGTGCTGCTGCTGTTGCTGTTTTGTAACATGTGATGCCCTTTGTGGGTTCCTTTGTATGTGTTGACCATTACAGCATGCTTCTCGGACAAGCTGGGATTGGGGTGGCGAAAGTGGGGCAAAAGGATGTTTTTGTTCTGCATGTGACTTCCCTTGCCAGCAAAAGTGCAAGCGTTGTGCATGGTGCAGCAGTGTCTCTTGGTATGTTCTTTGCATGTGACTTGCTTTAAATCTTGCATTGTCTATGCGTGATCCTTGTACTCTTGACAGCATGGAATACTAGTTAGAAAGTAACTTTGGAGACAATCTCAGGTAAACCTTGTGGGTTTGAGTCTCATTTGGTGTATGGCCCAGAAATATATTGTTGCTTCTCTGATGAGTGGCAGAAGATGTCAGGGTTCCTAGCAGGTTGGTTTCCTGTTAGAGGGGGAATCAGCAACACAGAGCCTGGATATATTCTTACTGTAACTTGTTTTATTTACACTATATACACTTGTCCTTGAACAGAAGTGGTCACAATTGCCTTCATCACCAGGTTCAAGAGTTATTCTTTCTCTTTGGCTCAATGAATATTTAAGTATTTATACTCAGTGGAACAGCTTCAAGAGGAGAGACTGGAGCAACCCCCCACAGAACAACCTGTGGCCTCGTGGTTAGGAAGCTCACTTGGGAGGGAGAATACTGAGTTCAAGATCTGCTGCAGAATGGGGAGTCAAACCTGGGTCTTCTACATCCCAATCAAGTGCCCTAACCAGAGATGTGTGCACACGTTTTCTGAAGCTGGCTGGCCCATTCTAGAGTTTATCTCACTGTAGAATATATGGGGCATTCACTAGTTGCAGTGATAATGGGGCAAGGCTAAACACTGACCACTTCAGTTCAGCAGAACTCCTTTGCGTGGTCATCTACATGCAGGCAAGAAAATCTCTGTGAGGCCCTTACAGTCCTTCTGTTCTGCTTCCAGATTGTGGGGGATGCTGTGGGCTGGGGGTTCGTGGTCCGTGGGGGGAGACCCTGCCATATCCAGGCTGTGGACCCAGGAGGACCGGCTGCTGCAGCAGGCATGAAGGTACTGTATAATCTGGATCTTCCTTGTGTAGCATGTGATATCACTTGTACGCTGATCAAACGTGTTGGGCCAAATTCATCCCCGGCATTAATCCACTGACTGCAGTGGGGGCGAATTCAGTCATCGCTCAGTACTATGGTTCAAAGCTGTAGCAGTCCCTGCGACGCTTGGAGTGAGGATTGCAAAGCATGCGCCTCCTTGCTAGCAATGGGACCTCTGCGTGTTAAGGTGGCTGGGGCCTGGCTCTTTTCAAGGGCTTATGAAGACCCGGCTGTGGCTGCTCTGATCTAAACCTCGGCATGGGGGGGAGAGCCAGTGTAAAGGGAAACATTGCATGGCCCACTACATTGCATTACCTCTACAGACCGGTGTCAACAAATACCTGTGTCACATACTATGATTGCTCTCTTTAAATATATCAGAGGGATAAATACCAGGGAGGGAGAGGAATTATTCCAGCTCAGTACTAATGTGGACACGAGAACAAATGGATATAAACTGGCCGTGGGGAAGTTTAGGCTTGAAATTAGACGAAGGTTTCTAACCATCAGAGGGGTGAAATTTTGGAACAGCCTTCCGAGGGAAACGGTGGGGGCAAAAGACCTGTCCGGCTTCAAGATTAGGCTAGATAAGTTTATGGAGGGAATGGTTTGAGGGGATAACGTGATTTTAGTCAATTAGGCAATAACGTGCCATCGCTGGTAAAATGAGGGTCCGGCTGGAGAATCTTGCCTATATGCTCGGGGTTCTACTGATCGCCATATTTGGGGTCAGGAAGGAATTTTCCTCCAGGGTAGATTGGCAGAGGCCCTGGAGGTTTTTCGCCTTCCTCCGCAGCATAGGGCAGGGGTCGCAAGCTGGAGGATTCTCTGCGACTTGAAGTCTTTAAATCGCGATCTGGAGACTTCAACAGCTGAGTTAAGGGAAAGTGGGTGGGTCAGCTTATGTGGCCTGCATCATGCAGGAGGTCAGACTAGATGACCATAATGGTCCCTTCTGACCTTAAAGTCTATGAGTCTACTACGCTGTGAGAGCTTGACACTGACTCTGGGCTTGTAGGTCGCCCGATGAGTTTATTTCGGAGAAGAATTTTGAATGCTATGGCTATTGTGCGCTGTTCAGGAGAGACCTAGAACAACACAGCAGAGATGCTGCAGGACACAATTGTGCTTTGTCACTGCCGTGTGAGGGAGGTTTGCACAGGGCCTGCCCTTGGCTGGATCTGCCTCTAGTCAATGTCGTCATCTTCAATTTCATCAGCATCCTATTTGTAATGATTCTCCCCATATGTGGCTTGTCAACAGGGCTCAAACCCAGGACCTGCAACACAGACCTCTACTATTTCAACTAAAGGAGTAATTCATTAGCTGATAGCATTAATAGGCTGTTATCCTCTAGCACACCAGCTGCCGAGGGAGATGTGACACACACACTGCCAGCGTGTTAGGTATTCACTAGAAAACTACCTGTTCTTTCCCTTCTGTAACTGGGATTTCAACATTTATCTTTGTCCTCAGTCAGGATGAAAAGTCAAAATATTGACACCATCCATGGGATGGGAAGTTCAGAAAAACTTCTATTTGGAAATGTTTTTGTTCTTGTGGTTTGGTTTTACACAGAACTGCACCCACCTGAGCTGCTGCAATGCTTCATGAGATTTGTAGTTCAGATGCCTCATGCCCTCGTTCTCTGCTATGGGCCAGACTCCCCAGATGGACTACAGCTCCCATGATGCATTGTGACAGTTCAACTGGGGAGGGGGGAATTGTGGTACATCATGGAGGATTTAGTCCAGCCTGGAATCCAGCCCTCAGACAAGGATGGGGGCATGTGATGCCTGAACTAAAACTCCCATGAGGCGTTGCAGCAACTCAGACAGACACAAGCTAATGTTGAATTGACCCAAACCAAAACATTTTGATTCAGGTCAAGAAAGCAGAATGTTTAGATTTGGGTCAACCTGAAAATTGTTTCAATTTTCTTGATGAAAAATTTTCAATTTTGTCAAAAAATATTCAACTTTTTCCTGTGGGACTTTGATTTTGTGGAGACGTTTTCTGTCAATAAAACAAAACAAAAAACAAATATCCAAAAAAACTTTTCAGTGGAAAATTCCCAATCAGCTCTAATTGATAATATGCTGCATATAAATTATTTAATGCAGGGAAAGAGCAGCGCACTGCTGTGAAACACCCAGTATTAAAGCTCCTGGGATAATAAGTGTGTTCTGTCTTACAACTTTCTTTTTTGGTAGGTGGAATTCTTTTTCTTTGCATGTGAAAGCTGCAGAATGACTCTGCAGTGATAAATCATTCCCTTTGGGGACAGGGAGAAGAGTTTGCCGCCATTCATCTTGTAATCGCTCTGCTGAATCCAGCTCATATGCAATGAGCTGAGCTTCTGAAAACCATTTTAGACCAACAAACCAAGAATAAATGGGCTGTGTGCTCTGGTTGAAGATCAATTTCTAAGAGTAAAGGAAAGAGGAAATTCATAAACCCCCCAGCAGTCGAGGAGCAATTTTTGTACAGGTCTTGTTTATCCTTCAAGTCACTTGCTGGGATATTTGAAGTAATAAGATTCTCCAGAGACAGAAACAGTTAGACTTGCTCATATGCTTCAGGCAGGATTGGAAGGGAACAGGTGCAGGTGAATTTGCTCCATTTGCTCAAGAGCTCATTTCATCTGACCCTTTCCTCTATTCTCATTATTTAAAAAAAATAGCAAATATTAATATTGTCTCACTGTCAGCTTTTTACATGTACATCACCTGCTCATAAAGGGGGCTTTGCATTCACCATTTGCTCCCAATATAAATCCCTTGGGTTACCATTAAGAATCTAGTCACTATTAGTGCAATTTATAAAGTGTATACAATGCTTTCCGGTTGTAGGATTTGGTAAGAGATATCTTCATCACAAAGTCTCACTCTTCTGAGCAGGTGCAGTGGCAGTGCAGTCACATGACTGTAAAACATTCCTCTCTCTCCACTGCAGGTGTGTCAGTTTGTTTTCTCTGTGAACGGAATGTACGTTCTGCATTTGGACTATCCGACCATCAGCAGCCTCATCATGACGGGACCGCGAACGCTTGTTCTGGAGGTCATGGAAGCCATTGAATAAGTGAAGAATCCTCTCCTCATCACTGATCCAAGAGGCGGGATGCTTCAGCTACTAAAGGATGGAGTGATCAGTTACATGAGTCTGCTAAAATTAGGGGACGGACCAAACCTGGTCTCTCTTCCTAAGAGACTAGGCCTGAAATGTAGCCTGACATTTTGACTTGTCTTAAGTAATTGGAATCTGATGGGGAAGGTCTCTTTGGCTCAGACAGGACTGAGGTATTCGTGGCTCAGTGCCTAATCCTGAGAGATGATGACCACCCACAACTCCTTTTAGGTTATGTCTACACTACCCACCGGATCGGCGGGTAGTGATCGATCTACCGGGGATCAATGTATCGTGTCTCGTCTAGACGCAATACATCGATCCCCGAATGCTCTGCCGTCGACTCCGGAACTCCACCAGGGTGAGAGGCGGAAGCGGAGTCGACGGGGGAACAGCGGCCGTCGATCCCACGCCGCGAGGACGTGAAGTAAGTCAATCTAAGTTGATCTAAGATACGTTGACTTCAGCTACGCTATTCTCGTAGCTGAAGTTGCGTATTTTAGATCGATTTCGTCCCCCAGTGTAGACCAGGCCTTAGAGTCAATGGAGGTGCTCGGTCACACTCAGGATTGGGTCCTTAGCGCACATGGTCCTTTCACCTACAAGGACCTGAGGTCAAGTCGCAAGTTAAGTAAGAATTGAACTGAGTTTGTTTGATCTCCAGGAACCGGTAAGTGAGGAGAAGCTTGTTGTTTTTGCTTAAAAAAACCTACCATTCTGTGTGATGACCCTGAGCAGAATATCTGAGCTCAGGAGACTGCCCGGCACCAAGAGTCAACTAAAAACGCCTTATCTGAAAGCTGTACACGTTCCAGATGATGCAGTACATGGTGCTGGTGACCACATCAAGAAATAAAGGAAAGAATGCCCCAGTGAGTTACGTTTCCTTATAAACAGGAAAGAGACCCCTTTTCCAGATGGAAGTTGACATACTCAAGGGAAATAACTTTTATTTTTGAAGCATCTAAGAGGTTTCCAACATTTAAATGTTTGAAAATGTCTTTTTAAACTATATTTTTAAAACTACTGTAGCTGAAAGTGTCTTTTTTAAATAAAATCTGTTTAGATGCTGATTTGTCAGTGTTTTCATATTTGATTAGAGAGTTCCTCTTCCATCACTTTCTTCAATGCACAACACGCCTCCCTCTAATGGTGTAATGTCTCATAAAACTGATATTCTATAGACTTGTAATACAAATAATTAAAAAAATAGATAAACCAAAGAAATATTGGTCTGTAACTGTTGTGCCAGTTGGACACAGGCTTGTTTTCCAACAGGTGTCAGAGCTTTAAAATCCTATAGGAGGCAGAGATCTAAACCAACTTCTGGAGATCATCTTTTACAGTGAAATTGGTGCAGTATGGAGGATGGGTAGAGTCCAATTAATTTTTTTTTACCTTGACTCAGTTGTTAAGCCCAAAATGTAAGAAGACTCCACATTAGGACTGATAGAAAAATGGAATTTCCATCTGATGGGTAATTCTAATATTGCTACATTTTGTTTTCATCCTGAATTCAGATGTGATATCAATATGTGCAGGGTTTTTTTCAGAATGAGACGTTCCAGAAAATGTCAATTTGGAAATAGAAAAATGCTTTGATGTTAATCTCTACATCCATCAGAGATGCTGCAATGCCCCATTCTCCCATAGGGTCCTTGCTCTCCATACTACATCTCCCATCATACATCATGGTCTCTCCCCACGACTGAGTTTCCATGGGGCCTGATGGGCCTCCTTCCTGTGGAAAATTTCTGTTTTGATAAATCGATTTTGCAATGGGAAAACTTCTAATTTTGAATTTTGTCTTCATGTGGAGTAGGGCTGATACAGTTAACAATATGGGATTGTATTTGTATTTAGGGAGAGGAAGGAAGAGCCCTATGGATGTTCTAACAGAACTGTCAACTTAAAAATCACACTTCTCTGAATGTTTTACATAACATTACTAGAACTGAAGTCTATTTAAGAGAGTATAATTGCAGGAGATCAGATTAGGAGTTCATAACGATTAGGATTGCCAACCCTCCAAGATTGTCCTAGAATCTCAGGAATTAAAGATTAATCTTTAATTAAAGATTATGTCATGTAATTTAAACCTCCAGGAATACATCCAACCAAAATTGGCAACCCTAATAATGATCCCATCTGGCCTATCTATGCAATTTTCTCGATTTCAGTTTGCTTTGGGCATTTGAAACCACTTGGTGTGTAACTAGTTGGGGCCTGGTCCAGAGTCTCTTGAAGCCATTGGGAGTCTTTGTTTATTTTGGTGGGCTTTGACTCAGACTCTTAGTTGTATGGGTTGGCCTGCCACACAGCACCAGAACAGAGAAGATTGGAGCGGCACAATTTCTTCTTCACAGAAGCCATGTTGGTTTATCTTTTTCAGATCTGGTTGTGTTACAACATGGAATCATAGAATCGTAGGACTGGAAGGGACCTCGAGAGATCACCTAGTCTCCTGCACTCATGGCAGGACTAAATATTATCTAGACCATTCCTGACAGGTGTTCGTCTAACCTGCTCTTAAATATCTCCAATGATGGAGGTTCCACAACTTCCCTCGGCAATGTATGTTGATTTCTGTTCATGTGCTAGCCATTGAAAGGGACACAACCACACTATTAGCAATGGTGATGCAAATCCTAGTGGAGATTATACATGCGCAGCCCACTATGGAGTGAACTAGATACAGCACGTTATTAATCATAACAAGAATCTAGTCTTCAGTTGACTGTGCATCACGCTGACAATTTGTCCCTAGGATTGCTTGAAGTGAAGAGAAATTAGTGATGTGTTAAAACTCCGTTCCAGGGTCCATCAGTGGCAGGGCATTTGTGCCAGAGAAATCTGATTCTAAGCATTAGGGATAGAAACCTGGCTTTATAGAAGTCAATGGAATTTTTGCAATTTTATTTCATTGAGGACAAGATTTCACCCTGTTGGATTGAGAGTCACTTACTCAGCAGCTGGGTCTAACGAATATTTATTAAGGCAAAACACTCAGAGTAGTGATCAGTTACTCACAAGCGGGAAGCTTATCAGGACGATCTAATCACAGTCAATGAGACAATAAAGCTTCAACCTGCCTTTATTACACAAACTTATTTATAACTTTTTGTTATCTTATACATATGTATTAGTCTCTCATTTCCACATTAAATCTCCTCCTCTGTCAGTACAGGTTTAGTGTGAGTTCAAACCGGTCTTTTCTAGCTTATTAGTTACTTTATCTTTTCTTGTCCTCTCAAACATGATTGCTTAGCAATTTCTTACATGTGCACAACACTCAGCAGGATTACTCTGCAGTTTCTTACACATACAATCTTCTACTTATGCTTACCCTGTTAAATGTTATCAGAACCAACTCTTCAATCTACAACAGGCTTCTGTCAGTCCTAAATATGCCTTCGCTCCCAACACTTGTGAGTTAATTCATTACTGGAGCTGGCTGGGAAATGGAATTTCTGTCCTGGGAGGGTTGGGGGAGGGAACATTTCTTGGACTCTTTTCATCCAAAAAAGCCAAAAACTCAGGTTTTTTTTCCAGACCTGAAATTCTGCAATATTTTATTTTGGGAACACTGAAAGATTCCTGCTGCATCTCTGACATGAAATACGCCCAGTCAGCTAGCCAGGCAACTAGAGAGTCCAGAAAGCTTGTCTATCGGTCAGGTGAGCAGCCCAGTAACTCACTTCATTTGGGGCCTAAATTGGAGCTCACTTTCTGAAAATCTGAGCCTGATTGTAGATGCTGAGGACGTGTAAACATCTGTTCCCAGGTGTGCATCATAAATGGACATGGCTGTACAAATGGCTGCTCTATTGATTTACTGCGGCCCCTTGCATTGCCTCTGCTGTTGATGAAACACAACTATTCATTCCCCTATCATTGGTGCAGCTAGCGTAGGGATTTGTTGTGATACTGCTCAGCAAATCACTATAATATCGGACAGCAAGATATTGTAGTGGAGGATACACGGAGGTCCTTGCAGGCACTAGAGGGAAACTGGGCAATCTTTCAATCCCTTTATCAAGATGCTGGCAGTTCCCATTTCCAGCCAGGTGAAATAAACCGCGTGCAAAGAAAGCTGATTGGTACCCAGAGCATCTTAATAGATACACGCGTTTAAACTCCAGTTTGACTTGGATGCATAAGTAGCGTGTCAACTCTGGGATCTACTCCAAACTGTAGGGTTCTCGCTAAGTGTAGGAAAGGCCAGTAAAGGTCCAAGTTGTCAGGTTCCCATGCAGTGATCTTAAGGCAAGTAGAGAGGGATACCATACCAACCTTTCTTTGGATCCAGAACTGAGCGCAGAGGCCCAAAACCCAGTAATGAAGTTTTGATCTGGATCAAGATTTTTTTCCCAAAGTTCAGATGAGGGTGGGACACAGTGTTCCATTTCACGCATACTTTTAGTTTTAGGATAAACAGTAGCAACTATAGGCAGCTATTAAAATCCATGGGAGTTCCAAGAAAAGTAAATTGCTTTAGTTAAAGGGAGATGTGGGTGGATTACAGTGAAGGAATTATGAAACACACTTTGTTTTCTTTCGATAAGTTTGAAGCTGTTTGTTTGTTTTTGCATGAACTATATTATATTATAATAATTTGTGTAATATTAAAAGTATAAAATAAAGCACTTTTATGTATTTTAAATATTTCTGAAATGAAACTTTTCAGAAATTTCATTGTGTGGAAAACTTTTGCCTTTTCATTCTGATTCAGGATGAAAGAAAATTCCAAAATGTTGGAATTTCCCATGCAATGGAAATTCCAAGTTTTTCACCAGCTCTAATTGTGACACAATAGGATAGTGCCGCTGTTAATCACTGGAGATCTCTTTTAAAATCTAGTCTAAAATTATAACACAGTAAGGATGTCACTGTCATCTGATGTATGTGTTTGGGTCCAAACTCCAGACCTTTCATTGAACCTTGACAGTGCTGCTGGTGGGAGAAGAGGATTCTTTCAGAATAATCTCTGGTTGCAAACCTGACTCTATAACTTTGGCAATGGGTCAGATATAAAAGCTGACAGTATTTCACTAACACTACTGTTTTCACAGGATTTTGGCCGAGAACAGTGTAAATCTTGCGAGTGCTGCTAATGTTGTGAAACTTCCACAATTTGGGGCCAAAATTACACCCAGCAGTTAATAAGACTTCAGCAGCCTCAAACTCTGTTCCCACAATTCAGGTCCCAGGCTTGCAAAACTTACAGGTG